ATATACCACCTCGATGCACCACCTCCTCTAACGACCGTTCGATAAAAAATTTTAGCGACTGAAATGGGGTGGGGTGCAGTTGATTCAACGAAAGAAGGCAACCCAGACAGGCACTCACTCTAAAGCTTGAACAAGGATGTTTGTGGGGAAATACAAACAATGAATGGGTACACATTGGAACCAACATGCACTCTAGAGTGTACTACGCATCTCCTAGAAAATAAAGGTACTGTCATTCTGTCAACTTGACTCCTTACCAAGGTTCTCAATGACATGCACATTCGAAGCATTTCAGGAGAATAAATTAAAGACAAACGAACGTTTGTTTCTACTATTGGCGAATCTTTCAATTTGATACTTTCAACTAAATTGAAGCAGATGATATATGCAAACCGTTCTACTCGATCCACAACTTCCGTATGCAGTGCAGGATAAAACATTTTAGTTGCTGAAATATGGTGAGAGAGGTTGGCCAATACGTCGAATGCACAAGCCCGATCGCATACGTAACAATTCGAAAACGGGAAGAGGAGGTAGGAGAAGGCTAGCAGTAGCAAACAACCGATTTCAATGATACTGTTGGGGATACTGTCAGATTGGTCAAGGACTTTTCAAGTGGTGTTCTAACATGCACAATTGATCTTTCGCTGCTTCACTTTTATAAAGCCAGGTACCACATTTCGCTGAAACCTCAACGGGATTATCGAGCAGATGGTTCCACTGAATAATTCAGTTCACGTCTTTCAAATTAAGATAATGAAATTTAAGACTAAGATGAATCTAAATGAATTCTAATAATTTTATTATACAATACACCGTGCAAAGCTTATTTCACATTTCATCAAATAATATCGGTTCCTGCATTATAGTAGTGGTTACAATTCAAATAAATAGAAGCCCCCAATTTTTCAACTGATTCCGAAAATGGATAAGCTGTAATAAAATAAATCAGATTATTTTAAACTAATACATTATCTTCACCCTTGGAAAAGAAACAAATTTTAACCAATGGTTCAAATTAAAAAATGATACTAAATTAATAATAGGTCTTTCAACTCATAAATATTCATATTTTGCATGGACATCAAATACGTGGATATAAAACCGTAAGCTATTACAAGGAACCAAACCAAAAATGGCTTTAATGAAAGAAAGGTAAATTTTCAAAATTAAACTTACTTGGAATTGTCTGTCAATTTGTTTTATTTTATTCATGTCAAAAGCCCTAACGATTTCATCCTTGCAAAAAATGACGTTTAATAACAGAAATATCAGAAAACTGCATCCACAAATTATTAACTTACAGATGGGTTAAAATGGTTCATATTCATTGCTAAAAATATACATTAGTATTTTAGGTAGACGGTACAAAATTTTAAAGATATCTTATCAAGCATGTCTTTAAAGTCATGAATAACGTAAATTATTACAAATAATTTAGGGAAAAATATAAATAAACAAAATACAACGATTAAGTGACAACATAAATTAATCATTTTTAATACGATAAACCGGATAATCCATTAATTTTTTATTACAACCTCCTTATATTTGGACGAAATGACAATTAATTTTAACAATAGGAAAAAGCACAAACCTGACTGCAGTAGATACACACGACTGACGCGCTTACTCTGGGGTAAGGTTGCACGATACATCCCAAGAATTATAACAATTATGTACAATTTTAATAGGTTAAATCGATTCTTTATTAATTTAGTCCTTCATATTTTGCAATTTATTATTTAATCATGGCTTTGAACAGGGAAATATCTCAGCCAGCAATTAATACGAAAGTTAATTTAGGTAATTACCACATTTACACACAAGTATGGGAAGTGCAAATTATATATACTCGAAACTATAAATATATCATTGACTTCTGTCTTTACTTTTAACTGTCAAATGCTTAAATTTTCAGCCCAAATGCTAAGTCTCAGCCCAATATTCCTCTATGTATATCGAGACGAGAGCAGTACCATTTGATATCATGGCTGACACGATGAATTCCGAGAGTCCTAGGACACAGCGGAATGTTTGGAGAGTGTAGATGAGGTGTTCAGAGAGCGCATAAATAGAGGAATCCGAGTTTAGTATTTGTTCATGATAAAATTCATTATATTCACAGTTAGTATACATTTTCAGAAACAATCTCCCCACTCCTGATATCTCCAGTGTCAACCAGCTTTGAACCTAGTCTGGCTATTTTTTCACAATTTATCTAAGAGAGATTCCTTGAGACCTTGTTGTACTTGCCTGCAGTTTGGTAAACTCCCAAGAGTATTATCAGGTCATATTTGTGCAACAATCACTATAGTCTCTTATATGAAATTTACGTTGATAAATTAAAGCTAAAATAAATGTTCTGTCATGATGATAATCATACAAGTTAGCAAAGGAGGACACGAGTGCAGAGACCACTCGACAACTCGGAATTGTAATAATGACTAAGCCCAATAGCACCAGCCCAGTACAAATGAACGTGTTCCATAATATACGTCTGTTTTTTCTATAATGTTAAGGAAAGGTAGCTAATCAGTTGAGCCATTTCAAACTAGGAGAACCTGCCATTGCGAATACCTCGTTTATCTCAAGGCTTATTTGCGCAACGATCAGCCACAATTCCAGCATATTCCAGTTGACCTATTTCATCAAGCTCTCATTCATAGTAAAATTGAATTATAATAATAAAAGAATAGTTTACTGTAATAGCATTTATTATACTAAATTTATTCAAAATTAATTAATTGGATAAGGAAGTTGGGTTCATTTTACCCAGCCCATCTTAAACAAAAAATGTCGACCTTGACATATAAGATACAACTTCCTATCGTGGATGCAACTACTTTGTTCCTTCATTCAAGAGAAAAATGACCGACTTAATAACTTTTGTTCTTCAATAATCTTGAAGTAAAACGGTGCATTTTCGAGTTCACTTGCATTTGTGAAGTGGGCATCGCTGCTTCATTCAGCATAGAATGTTCTGGACTGTGTAAATTTTTATTAACCTCTCATCCAATCAGTAATAGTGCGTGTGCAACGTAAAATAACGATGATCGCATTTCATGCGAAATCAAATGAGTGTTCTGCCAGAATATGCTAAAGACGCATTCACATCACAACCTCTGTATCTTGTAACTGACGTTTTAGAATAATCGTACACAAGTGGGTTATCCAAGGCATAGTTTCATCAAGGTTTATATGCTTTCGCTGCACATTAGCTCGAAACTTATTAAGGCAATATCCCACTGCACATTTAAAGTACCTTCTCTTCTGCTGCTACACCATTGTCACCATCTACCCACATTTAAACTCAATTGACAACTTTGATTGGCTATTCTAAAGTTACTATGCATACGCTAATTGAAAAATCAGAGTAACACAGCAGAAAACAGACGAATCAGCTCTTCATCGGCTGCTTCAACGCTATCACAAATCCAAATGAAGGCTCATTGAATTTCAATAATTATCAAATTCACTAAAACATAATGGAAAGGTTATAATATATACATAATGAAGATAACTAAACCGCCTCTATTTTCAGGACCTTTTCTCCTCTGGTCTGATTGTGTAACTATAATAACCCTTATGAAATTTATTCAGACATATACTCTTATCTTCATATTGAAACGGTATAAATTAAAAATATACGCAATCACCTCTATAACTGCCATTTCAACAGATTCGTCACGATTTTACATTTTCTCATCAATTCTTGATCCCGGCTTTCGTGGCCAGTCCATCTTGGTTTTTTTCCCACACTAGAAGAACGAGAACAATCAACAAATCAATGTCCCTTTAAGAGAATTGGAGGTAAATCTGACCGTTGTGCGCCAGCGATGATTCCAACGCGGACTCTGATTGCTGTAAACACCGCTAAGATGGTAGAGTTTCATGAATTCAGGGATAATTCGTGAGTCACAGCCAAGAAGACGTTGAAAACTTCTGAATACGGATGTTATATTGTGGTCTTTAATCTCAACGGGAAGGTTATTTAAATTGAACCAATTCTAGTTAATCCGTGTTTTGCAGACATATTTCTCGACCTCCAACAGAATCTCATTATAACTCAACTCTCCCATCTCTTACTCCTAGAACTCAACAAGGAGCACTATAGTCCCAGGAGAGTTTGTAATAACTTGAGTAGTGCAAAGCTGCTAGGTCTTCACCCCTTCTACTAAAATGCTCTATTTTCGCCTTTCTTGAGTAGTACATTTTAATTCACTCAAACGAAAATGTTATACCAAAGACACAATTAGATATAATACTTGCAGTAACGATTTGGTAAGTAAATGCCAAACAGATAAAACTTTTCATAACTCCAGTTTCAGCTAGAGGCTTCATTTCAAGAGTATTTGGTTGAAGCGCGGCTTTCAAAACTTGTTATTAACAAGTATTGTTCTATTTGGGATTTCAAGAGGGGCGTTTGCATTCCTTAAAATGTTAAAAAATTTGGCATTTAGGCCTCAGTTTACAGAAGATAATCTCCACCGAATCGGCAAATTTTGAAGGAATAGGTAGTCGAACCACTCGATCGAAAAGTTTTCAATAACCGCAGATCTTCCAGTTTAATAAAGGTGGATATCTACTGTTCGTCATAAATTAAATCACTGGATCTGAAGGATGGCCTATTGGTGCTTTATGAAAGTCCCATTTTTAAGCAATTTGAGGAACCACGCATTGAAGGTATTTTAGAAGATTTGTAAAAACCTTTGCGGCATCTTATTGTCAGTATTGTGATTCGCCAACACTTTCTTCTTAGCAAAATCACGCCCATTTCCAACCTTTTTTGGCTAATCTCAAAAAGTGCTTAATCTATATGACCTCAGAAGTCTGTCTTCAAAAAGACTCAAAGCGGCAATTAATGAGGTGTACAGCAATATATATGTAACAACAAAAAACAACCCAACCTTTAGCTTAAACTCCTCTTAATAGAGGTCACTATTGGTGGTAGTGGGGGGGGGACATGAGGTTTACTTATTTTCATCCACATCCTGACGGGAACGAAGAGCCTGAGCTCGAGTCCTCTCCGTGTCTCCTTTCGTTGTCATGGCAGACAATCGACGCTCCTGAAGTTTTTGCTTTACCCTGTCTCGATTGCACTCTATCAAACGATCCCGATTATTGATCCCGCCCATTATTTCCTCCTTGAATTAAATGAAATAAAAATAGTGTGTCATGAATAATAATTGAATAAAAATTTCTTTCTATTTAAAATAAAATCATGAAATATGGTCATTAGTTTAAAAAGAAATGGATGAAGATTTTATTTCACAACAAATTTACAACAAGATATGCAATAATTAATATCGATTTTATTGTGACACGCTCTATTATTACCTTTATTTCTCGTAATTCAGACACGATTTCTGCATCCGTCTCGTCAATATAGCCATTATCTTCGTTTCCAGAATATCCTTTTCCCGACTGCGAACTCAGTGGCGTCTTACTAACAGTGGGTTCTCTTGAAGTACTGGAACATAAAATGGTGTCATGAAGTCAACTAATAGTTTGGGGGGGAGGAACAATTGGTTGCATTAAAGTAGTGCTCCGAGAGACTCACGAATGGGTTGTTGGTCTGGCATAAGATTTCATGGCTTCATTATTTTGCGCGATTTGATTTTGTAGCTGCATTTGACTAAAATTAATTAAGTAATTAATCAATGAATTAAATTTTCATGAATTTTATTTTCTTCAATGTATACGGAGTTTGGCAATTATTTACTCCATGTATTTCGCCAAAGCAGCTGACTCTGCGGCTTGAACTTTCTGACTGATTTCGGGATTGACGACCACTTTCGTTGCCGAGCAACTTTTCCACCCACTTGCCAGCTCCAGTCCAAGACCCTGATTTTCTGTTTCTGATTCCTGTTTGGAATCTTTTCCTAAAAATTAAACAAAATGCCTCAATCACCTCCTGATCTGTCATTGGCGAAGATAAATTCAAACACTCTCGATTGGTTCTCTGATAACGGATGTGGGAGTGAATTATATCAAGTTAGTGAAAGGAACCTTGCGGTATGTCATCCGCTTCCTAATACTCTTGTTTTAATCTATCGGTCATGTTTTGGCTCCAATAACTTCATGAGTTGAAATTGAGTGCTTTTAAGAGTGAGATCATGATGCCCAAATAAAGGTATGTACTACATTTTTCGTTGTAACCGTGTAGGAAACAACAGTACCACTTCGGGATTTTACATTAATTTATGAATTACTGGTGATTGGTTATAAATACTTATTAATATTGTAATAAAATTCCGATTGAACAAATTGCAATCGAGACATTGCATCGCCAAATGCCTATTCACGTGGTCAGATCGTAATATTTATTTATTCCAAATGGCGGGCTTTATGATACTTATCATGGGGTGTGCGATAGACTTACCTCCACGTAGCGCAATCTGGGCAACGTATACTCATACGACAAAAAAAGTCTATTAACCGGCAGTTGACTTCTGACTTCAAACTACCATGACCCCACTGTATGTCATTTTCGACCACTTCACAGTACTTATTTTACCTTTTTTCTAGCTTTGTGTCTGTCTTTTTACATCTTTAAACCACTCTTCCGTTCCTCTCTATCGACTTTTTTCACTTTGATGTTCCTCCTCCCCCTCTATGAAGCCCGTAGTCAAATAAAGGCCTAATGATACCTATCAAAACGCCTGCCATTTGATATAAATAAATGATACTTATCATTTGCGCGTTAGCTGACTTCGGGCTTCATAAAGGGAAGGAGGAATATCAAAGTGAGAAAAAGTGGAGAGGGGGGACAGAAGAATAATTCAAAGATGTAAAAGAGACAGACAGGCACAAAAGCAGAGAAAATGTAGGATAAGTATGGTGGAAGTGACCGAATATATAATATATATATAAGTTTACTAATATGTCAAATACCAATTTATATTCCACAGTCCGAACTCAGTAATGGTCGAACCTCATAGACCAAACTTTCCATGCTTCTCTGAAAAATAAAGATTGAAAAGACTTACACCACCCTCGGCGAACTAGAATAAGGTAGAGGTATTACAACTATTTATTCGTTATTTAGCTAACAAATCATAATTCCATTACTTCACAATGGATAAGGAATTTGCATAGAAAGTGTGATGAGGGGCGCTAAAGTGCGGTTGTATTTTTAGAAAAAAATAATTTTATTATTAATAAATATTTTGGCGATATTTTATTTGAGAATTAAAATTAGATTGATGCATTTCAATAGCAAATTAGAAATCAATTTTTTGTCATGAATAACTTACCTTTTGTCGAGCAATTCGACTTGCTGGCTTTAGCATTGAATACCGATGTTAACTGATCAAACTCCTGTTGGAATGAAGCGAGGGTTTGAAGTAGATCTTTCGACTCTGTCTCACGCGCCTGATCATTCTTACGCAGAAAGTCTATCTACAGAGTGATAAGCCCACTTTACACCAATCGATCAAATAGGCCCAATTCCCTTTCATATAAAATGTCCGATAAATTACATTGAGAAGTGATGAACTTTGACATAGTTGGAAAATTGAAAAAAAAAAAGTTGGCCCCCAAATCAACAACAGAATTATGAAATGCGTTCTTATTAATCATTGATTCGTTTCCAAAAAGGATTAGTATTTGCATGAACTTCTTCCAACGGACAAAACCTCACTGTTACTAACAAAATAATAAGTTAGATGTCAACATGTTATAAGTATTTAGTGCTTAATACTAGGATTAAAATAGTAATCACTCAACAAACAGGTTAGCATGGAAATATTTTTTCATTCAATGTATATATTTCGTGGAAATGAGGCTTTCTTACCCGAATTTCTTGAGGAGCATTGACAAATTGGTCCTTTATTTGACTAGCGAGCATATTAGACCGACGCTTACCCATGTGTGTTCTACGCCCGAGCAGATGTTAAAGTGCTCCAAATAATGAGATGCATGTTGGTGGAACAATGGAGGCAAACGGTAGTCATGACGATGAACAATACTCTCGGAGCTATTCTTGCGTGTTATGCACGTTTAAATGAGTTTATCAGTTCTCTTTTTTTTCTCACTAAATTAACTAATAATAAATTGAAATTTATTATTTACTCGAAAGCATTTCATTTAATTTATGAGAATACCTAACTCTCAAACCCCGGTTTCTTTTGTGACAAAATAAATTGACTTACATTAAGGTAATGTAAGGTAAATTGGGGTGTGCGATAGACTTACCTCCACGTGGTGCACCCTGGGCAACGTATACTCATACGGCAAAAAAGTCTATTAACTGGCAGTTGACTTCTCACTTCAAACTACCATCACCTCACTCTATATCATATTTGACTATTTTCACAGTACTCACCTCACCTATTTTCTACCTTTGTGTCTCTCTTTTACATCTTTGAAAC